TTAAAACCATAAATACATATAAATACATAAAACATAAAAATTTTAAAAACATTACTAAAAAAGAGGAAGAGAGTCCAAGATGACGAAGGATCTACGGCGGAAGACAGCAGGCCTCTATGCGGCTAGCCATCCCCATGCTTGAAGTATTCCCTCCCCACCCCAGGCCAAGCTGCAGAACCAGGTCTTCAAAGCCCTCCGGAAGACCAGGAGTGAGGGAGCCAATCTTACCTCCGGGGGCAGAATATTCCAGAGAGTGGGGGCTACTGCAGAGAAGGCCCGCCTTCTGGACCCCGCTAATCGAAGTTCTTTTATTGTGGGGGTCCGAAGCATGTCCTCTCTGTGTGATCAAGTGGGACGGGCTGAAGTCATGGGGAAGAGACGGTCCCTTAGGTAACCTGGTCCTATGCCATGTAAGGCTTTAAAGGTGATAACCAACACCATGAATTGGACCCGGAAGCAGACTGGTACGCACCGGGTCTGTCTGGGGCACTGCTACCCCAACCAGCACCAAAGATGACAAAGTCCCAGATACTGAGGAGCCATTAACCCACAGCCACTCCGTCTTACCAAGGTTCAGCTGAAGCCTGTTGTTCCCCATCCAGACCCTTACATCCTCGAGGCACCGCAAAAGGGCGGTCACAGCATCACTTACCTCACCTGGGATGGAGATGTATACTGATGATACCTCATCCCATGATGTTGGATGATCTCACCCAGCAGTTTCATGTAGATGTTGAAAAGGAGCGGAGAGAGAACTGAACCCTGCAGCACCCCACAAAGGAGGGGCCAAGGATGGGACCTCTCGCTCCCTAAACACCGATTGGGATTGGCCCTGAAGAAAGGAGGCGAACCAGCACAAGACCATGCTGCCCACCTCCAATTCCCTGAGTCATCCCAATAGGATACCATGGTTGACGGTATCAAAAGCCGCTGAGAGATCAAGGAGAGCAAGGATGGTCACACTTCCACCACCCTGCTCCTGCCGGAGATCATCCATAAATGCGACCAATGCCGTTTCCGTTCCATAACCAGGCCTGAAACCTGACTGGAAGGGATCCAGATAATCCGTTTCCTCCAGAAC